TTACAGATCCCAAAACTCATTCATTATAAAATCCCTCCAGAATACTGTGATAGATGGTCTTTATCTCAATCTCATAAAAACCACCTATTGCAAGATAGTCAACAGCACACTAAACAAACAAAAACTGGAAGCTCCCACTCTAAGATTAGGAATTTTACAACGGCATCCACTATCATCACTGCTATTCAATATAGTTCTGGAAACATTAGCTAGAGCAATTAGACAAGAGAAATAAACAAAAGGAACAAATCATAGGGCAGCAAGAGTTAATAATTATCATTAGGTACAGATCACACGAGACTCTACTTAGAAAATCCCAATGGTTCCACCAAAAGATGTCCATATTTATTTATTTTTTATTTTAAAGCGGACAAGACAGAATAAAACCAATCATAACAAACCAGTGTAACAAATGCAGGACTTCAAAACATTAAAAATCAACAATGGTTGCCATAATGCCTTTTGATGTCTTCAAAATAGCTGAAGAGAACTTCAGATATAGCAAAAATCAAACAGAAGAGAATAAAATAGAATCAGTAAAAGCAAAACAATGAATGCAATAAAGGACTACAAAACAAATCTATAGTAAAAAAAAAATTGCTACCATAATATATCTTGCTATCATTGAAATAGCTGCCCCTGCCATCACACTAGACATAATCAAATGAAAAAAAGAGAATAAAGCCCACACCAACAGAAACAGAAATGATATAGGACTTCCAAATCAAAAACATAGGGAATGAACAATGGCTGCAGCCCTTATAAAGAGATTCGCCCTAGATGTCATACTGCATACCACTATACTCTGAGGTCATAGACATGCAATGTTTGTGAAACACCACAGCACCACAGGTATCCAATTGCATTTCTCCCCCATAGCTATCATCACAGGCTGTGTTTCTCTGGATAAGCTAGTTGGTTATGGTGCAGGGCAGGGGAGGAGTTGGTACATCTTGTTTGCACGCCTGCTAGCCAGAAGGGTTTGGGGTCTGCCTTTTCCAGTCCAGTGGTGGCCCATGCATGGCACTGGTTCCCGGACTTGTTTGCCGGGGTGGCTTTGTTCTCTCAGGTCCTGGTCTGCAAATGGTGCTGAATCATGGGAGAGGCTCAGTCTCTCTGTCCCAGTCCAGCAGTAGCCCATGCGTAGCACTGGTTCCCAGACTCAAGAGGTCCAGCTTTAATAACAAACTCAGTTTCGTGGCTGGATACAAAGTCAACATTGAAAAATCATAAACCACATAAAGGCTCTGCAGTCAGGTGTATTTTGTTTCAAAGTTCTGAAGAACACTGCTGTCCATTTGAGAGCAGCAGCCATAAGTAAAACCAGTGGAGCATAAAAACAAGCTTCAAGTGAAACACATTTATGAGCAAGCCTTGATCCCAATTAAAATTAACTTAGTTTTTAGCTCTTACTATATTTTACTCCAGTGTCCAGAGTGTAGGTCATCAAGATTTTCTAATGGACAGAACACCTAGCTGCTCTTACACTACCATCTATGATCAGGAATCCCCTAATCCAGGTATTTGTTCCAGAAACTGACAGCTATATACCATTGGCAAAGGCCTAAAATATTCATAAAGCAAAACCAGTTGCTTTCCATGAAGCAAGAAGCAGAGAAGCGAAACAAATTCTGCTGCACACTGGTGCACTGTTAGCCCGGGATCAGCCTTAAAGACTCTGACTGCACCACCGAGGCTGAGCAGGGCCCCTAGTGCCCCTATTATTACTTAGCCCTGCCCCTGACAGACAGCAGCACTACTCACTGTGCTTTCCAGTCCCGTCCATGGTGAGCCTTACCAGAGCCTCAGCCTTGGCAGGCAGCCACTCCTCCCCTCACTGCACTTACTCCAGTGAAGAGCAACTGTTCTAGTCTCCAGTGACAGAGGAGTCCCTCTCAGGTCTGTTCTGAAATAAAGCTCTCCTGTGGCGATCATACCTCTGTTTTTTTTTTAGAAATCATACATCTAAGGCAATTTCAGTGCTCTTAACACTAGAAGACCTGCTTTTTATCAAATTCCTTTACCGTTTCTGTGATTCTCACTGTGGTGAAAAATACAAGAAGTCTCCTGGAAAAGCTAGTTTCCAGTGAGAGTTGCTAGAGTTATACTGTCTTCAAACCCACAAGGATCAGGGAAGAAAAGGGTCAATGAGTTTCCTGACACCCACTCCTTCACTGTATAGGAACCTCCCATTTTCATGTGGATGCAGCACAACCACACCACTGGCCAGCCCCATCCAAGAGGAACCTGCAGGGAACAGGGACACACTGATATTCTTCTATTCAGTCTGACATTCCTAAGTGGAAACCAAGAACAAAATAGTGGTTTCTATTCATAACTATAGAAAATAGTGTCTGTTTTCCTATGACTTTCTATGCAAGGAAATCCGAAATTATCAACCAGGAATCATCAGAATAATTTCTCCTGGCCCAGAGGCCACAGGCATGGTGTCAAAGCATCATTCTCCCCTGAAACTAAACAATACATCCGGCTGCTACTCTCAGAAACTTCTGGAATTCGGCTTTGAATAACAAGGCCTTGTATTCACCTGTATCCTCTCTGTTAACAAGTACTTTAAATTCTTTCCATTCTCCTTGAATGGTGTGATTAATTACCCATCCCCATTAAGTGAGTGAAAAAATTAAAATATAAACACAGTAGTGAGGAAGTACATGATCAATGTGGTAAGGGAGCTTCTTGTTAACAGTGAACACTGCTGACCCAAACCAAAATCTCTCACTCCAGTTCAATACTTATTCAATTGCTGGGATGATTGGTTACTTGTGACTCTCAGCTGACAACCTTCTCTCTAACGCTGTTTTCTTCCAGCGTTAGCCACTGTTGTGCTGTATACCTTCTCCCCAAGAGAGACCCTACCGTGTTATTCTAATGTTCAAAAGGTGAGCAATCTGTCACCTACCTCAAGTTTAGAAGGACCAGCTGAATGGGGCGGCGCACAGGGTGCCCAAGAATCAGATCAAATCAAGATTCTGGCTGAATCACATCTGTACTTAGCCATGTCCTGTCTCAACCTGTTTTCCTTGATATATTATGAACAAAAGGATTTCAGTTTTAGATCTTATCTAAGGAGCTATACCCATGTCAATGTACTGCTTCATTTATCTATAAAACAAATTCTGAAATATATGTATAATAATACTAAAGACCAAGTGGCTTTCCAGATATGGTGGAGCACACCTGTAATTTCATCACTGGGGAGGCTGAGGCAGGAGGATCACAGTGAGTTCAAGGCCAGTCTGGGCTACATAGTGAGTTGCAGGCCAGCCTACACTGCAGTGTGAGAGGTTGTCTCAAAAAAAGTAATAAATAAATAAATAGTATTAATAAGATGTCACTTGTTGAAACCATTGTCACCACCTTGGTTTCCTCCATAGTACTATTATACTAAAATGCACTCAAAAATAATGGAACTAAAGATAAATATCTTGACTCCAGCACAAACATATGTTCTTCCTCACTTCCCTTCAAGTCTCTGTTGCAGTGTGTCAAACTTCAAGACTGTTTTCAAAACTTGGAAACATTTATTTAAGAATCTTCAAATTTTCATACTGAACATTTGAAGTAAGGCCTTGTTGTGTTGAACCACTAAACCTTAATTTTCCAGTTCCATGATCTTTGGACAAATGAACTACACAGACAGCAACAAACTAACAGACCTCCACACCAGCTTCATAATCACTGCAACTTTATTTTTCTTTCCTACAACTCAATATAATATCTTTTATAAGGTCTTACTTGCATCAAGCAACAAACATTTTTTTCCTGAGCTTTTGGAAGCGGGAGGGCAAATCCATATTGCCCAAAAGTCAGAGGGGCGAGGCTAAGTGACAAACATATGACCTTGGCATCTCCAGCTGTCCTCATGAAGATTTTCTAGAAGGCTCTCAGTACCATATGGTCTACCTTAGCTCCTCTAAGCAGGTCTCTAGTCAACAGAACAGAATCCTCTGATATCTAGAGCTACTCCAGACACATTCTCAGCGATTCTAAGAGGCCTGGAGTCACTCTGTGCCCTCATGCTCTCCTGGAGTGTGGGTCTCCATGTGGCCCTGGTTGACGTTCTCCATGTGACACACCAGGGCCAGGAATCAAGACTCAGGCCAGAAACTCTGGGACCTGCTCAGCCAGGACTCAAGAGCAGGACCCTGGAGCCTCTCTAATTTTAAATCTCTGAAGAGACTCCTGAGCATTTCAGTTTTCACCAGTTCTCACCATCTGACTCTATTAACCTTCCTTCTGCCCACCCAAGGTGTCCTTACCTAACCCACGGCTGAGGGTGGAGCTGAGAGTGGAGATAGAGATCTGTAACTAAAATAATTTATGACTTAAAATGTTGTGAACATTGTTTTTTATGACTTCTTTCTTCCCTTTAGATTTCTGCTTTCTTAATGTATTCTAAAGACAGTGTGTCAAATTGGCATACCAACTGAGCAGAAAAGAGAAGAATATTACCTGTAAGGAAATACCTGTCATATTAAAGCATTTTCTTTCACATATAAAAACTGTTACTAAACTAATCCTTTGAGTGAAGTTGTGACGTAAAGCCAAATTCCATATCAAGATGCATGGCATATGTGCACCTTTCTGTGTAACAATCTTATTTTAAAAAGAATCTTATTTTAAATCTTGTTTTAAAAAGAAAGAAGAGTGAAACTTGTAGGGGGATGGTTCTATCTACATGATGACAATTTCATGGTTGTCTATTTAGCTTCAGTCTTCTAAAGATACACATTAAATATGTGTAGCTGTTTGTTCATACTTCAATAAAAATTTTTAGAATAACAATGGAAAACTAAAAACTCTCCACCAGACTAATATTTGTCTACACTTTCCCTTTAAAGGTAAGTATTCACAGAATTACTAAAATAGTTTCCTGTCCACCCACAGGTGACCCCACATTATTGCTCATAATTTCCAGTGCTTCTAGAGCCGGAAGAGCCTTCTTGTCCTGTAGTCTCTGCCTCAGACTTGGCTGGGTTTCAGTGCAGGCTGCAGGTGCCTGGGGAGCACTGTGTGTTCACTGCACAGAAGTAGGTGGCTGAGTCAAGGGACTGACAGGCCCCAATATGCAGGAAAACATGTCGATTGGCTTTGTTGAGCTGTGCTTTGAATCTTCCTTCTTCTTGGTCACCATCAGAGTATATGGATATCAGCAGCTCAGGGCCTTTCCCAGGGTACTGTCGGTACCACCTGAAGGCGTAAGAACCGCTGTCCCTGTAAGTGCAGTTGAAAGAGGCAGTGTGCTCCTCTGAAACACTGAGGGTCTCGGGACTTTGCTCCACCTCCTTCTGTTGGCTGCTAATCCCTGTGGAAAAAGACAACAGGCATAGAGGATCGGTTGGGGAGTGGGTGCTTACTCTCCTGAATAAAATTTATCTTCTCAGTGCTTTTCCTGCCTCCTTTTTAAAATCAAATTTAAAAACATTCTTCTTCATACCACAGTCTTGGAACATACAACAATTTTACATATTGTACTTTAAGATCCCAAAGAAATGACCCTACTCACAGATAAACTGAAGCCACAGGATCACTAGGAAAACATTGAAGGATCCCATCATTCTGCTCTTGTTCACTAAGGATTCAGATATTAAACTCTAAAAAGCTTCTTCTTCAAATACTTATGATTCTTTTGCTGTAGGAAACAAAGAATAAAAGTGTCTTTTCTCAAAATTAGAAGATGTTTCTTTAGTAATCCAGCTACACTAGACCCCGCCTCTGATCTCTTCTCTCTGTCTCTGTCTCATCCTCTCTATCTCATTCTCTCCTTCCCTCTTTCTCTTTCTTTTTTTGTCCTCTGTCACACACACACACACACACACACACACACACACACACGCACGCACGCACGCACACACATACACGCACGCGCGCACACAGAGTATGAAAGTAGCAATTGAAACCATCTTCAAGGTACCTAACAAGATGCTGCCATCTTGTGGATTCAGAAGAGTGGTAAATAAAATATGGAAAATGCCCCCTATGGGAACTGTTAAAAACAAACTCAAGCACTTTACCTGAAAATAATTTAAGAAATGTTTGTTCCAAGTCGATACCTGTGTGTGGGTACAAATACATTTCCCATTATGACTAAGCAGTGCTAGGGTAGTCCATGAATGCATTTAAAGCTTACAAATGAGGTCACTCACTCAGGATCCCTCTCTCTTAGAATCTTTCTTTTTCCCATACAAAAAAAGTTTCAAATGCGCAGTAAAACTGCCAGTGTATCTTAACAAAGTGGTATAATGCCACTAACTCCAAAACAGAATTAAAATTCCCTTCAAGTCTGGGGAAATGGAACATAGAATATCTCTCTTTTGGGAATAACAGTGGACCTTTGGTCTCTCTTTGATAAGCCAAAGGGTAGCATGAGAGTTCAAACTCTTCATGTGGGCTATAATGCATAAAACTTTGTATACTAATTTTCTTCAGTCTGAGATTTATTGTAAGCCTCTGACACTGGGGTTACAGGAGACAGGATTTTGGTTAATACTACATGTTGCTTTTATGGTTCTGCTTAGAATTCTGCAGAAGCAACTTTAATTAAATGCTGCTTCAGATAAACTCAGTGTATTTTGTCTCAGCCTTTGCGAGATAAGTCAGAATGGTTGATTAGCCTCCATCATACTAAATGGTCAGAATGGAAATCTTTCACCCTAAAAATCAGGAACAAGACAAGGATGTCTACTGTCACTGCTCTTATTGAACATAGTCCTGGAGATCTTAGCCAGCACAATTAGACAAGAGAAAGAAATAATGGGAATAAGTAGGAAAGGAAGAAGTTAAACTATCGTTGTTTGAGGATGATATGATACTCTACTTAGAAGACCCCAAAAACTCCACCAAAAGACTTCTATATTTAATAAGCAAATTAAGTAATGTAGCTAATTACAAAGTCAACACTTAAAAATCAATAGCCTTCCTGCACATGAATGATAAACTCATTGAGAGATGCAATAGCATCCAAAAAATAAAATGCCAAGGAATCAATTTAATGAGGGACATAAGAGACCTCTACAGTGAAAACTGCAGTACTCTGAAAAAGAACATTGAAGAAGATATTAGAAGATAGAGAGATAACTCATACTTTTGGACAAGAAGAAACAATGCAGTGAAAATGGTCATACTTCCAAAGCTGTTATACAGAATCAGTGTAAGCCAAATCAAAATTCCAACACCATATCTCACAGAATTAGAGAAAACATTCATAAACTTCATCTGGAACCAGAAGAGCCCTAGGATAGCAAAGGCAATCCTGGGCAACAAAGACAACACAGGTGGCAGCAAAATTCCTGACCTGAAATTATAGTATAAAGCTACAGTGATTAAAAACAAACAAACAAACAAACAAACAAACAAAAAAACCAGCCTGGTACTGGCAAAAAATAACCAAAAAAAATCAAAAAAAGAGGCCCAATGATCAATGGAACAGATTAGAAGATGCAGTTACAACTGAAGACTCACTAAGCCAACTTATCTTTGACAAAGTTGCCAAACACATTCACTGGATGAAAGATAGCCTCTTTAGTAAATGGTGCTGGAAAAACTAGCTCTGTACATGTCAAAGCTTAATTCTGCACTCATATTTTTCATTATGCAATAAACTAAATTTGGAATGGACCAAAGATCTAAATATTAAAACAGAAACAATACATCTGCTGGAAGATAGAATAGGTAAAACTGTTGAAAACATTTGTGTAGGCAAGGACTTTATGAGCAAAACCCCAAATGCACAGGAACTATCACAAACTATGAACAACCGGGATCTCATCTTATTAAAGACAAGGATGTCTACTGTCTCTGCTCTTATTCAACATAGTCCTGGAGATCTTAGCCAGCATAATTAAACAAGAGAAAGAAATAAAAGGAATAAGTAGGAAAGGAAGATAAATGACCAACAGAGTAAAGAGTCAACCCACAACGTGGGAGAAAATATTTGCCAGCTGTTCTTCAGACAAAGGATTACTATTGGGAACATATAAAGAACACAAAAACCAGTTCTCTTAAATTTAAAGACCCAATCCAAAAATGGGCAGCCGAGATGAATACACACTTTTCAGATGATGAAATACAAACAGTAAATAAATATGTGAAAAGATGTTCAACATCATTGGTCATTTGAGAGATGCAAATTAAAACAACACTGAGATTCTACTTCACCCCAGAAAGAATGGCATAACCAAGAAATGAACCAATAACAAATGCTGGAGAGTTATAGGAGAAAAAGGAACCTTCTGCACTACTGGTGGGAGAATAGACTGGTGCAACCACTGTGGAAATCAATGTGGAGATTCCTGAAAATATTAGGACTGAAGGCCCTATTTAACCCAGCTATTCCCCTGCTGGGTATCTTCCCAGAAGTATTAAAAACATCACACCACAGCAATATGTAGATACCCATGTTTATATTAGAATGGCTAGTGAAGAGTTATAGTTATGTGACAAATATCTAGCAACTAATATAATGTGAGCCTTAAGTGGATATTACTGAAAGATAGTCCAGCATGGGCCTCTTTTACTCCTGCATGTCTTATTGAGTGTGTCAGCAGTGTAAGGCTGTGACACACCAATTCCACCATTTCCCAGAGCTATTCTTAGAGCAAGCAACCTTTACAGGTGAGATAATGTCTCCTGTGAGACAAGGAATAAGCATACTCATTGCCAGCTATTAAGCAAGGAATTCCACAAGCTCAGAATCCTCCATGTGACATGTATCACTGCAGCACAGCATCCTCCTAAAAACACTGTGTTTCCTTTAGGTACCACAGGGAAAGAGGCACTGAAGCAGAGGCACTGGTGCTTATGCCACTTTCTTTGTCCTTAGCAATAGGGTCCTCTGTCTCTGGTTCACATTGCTGTGTGTTTACTGACAGCACCCATTTATTAGGTCATGCTGTGACCTTAAGCCACATCCTTTAAAAATCTAATCTCCTATAAATTGTGTACCAAGGATAATTATTTGAATTTATATTCCAAGAAAGCTTTTGTTTGTGGTGATTTGCAATAAAATTTGGGCAGTTTCTCATAGTAATTTGACTAGAGAAATTATTTTTATTTCCTCTCATCTTTCAGTTATACCTTTTTTGTTCTCTCTGATATTTCCCTTAGAGCTGACTCAGTCCTTTTGATAGGATGATTTCTGTTAGGGGAGAGAAGGCTGAGACCCTGAGAGCTTCTTACTATCTGACAGCGACCCCTGGGCACAGGAGTACTGCAGTGTGAGTGTGGGGTGAAGAGCTGAGGAGAACTGAGCTCAGTTCCTTCATGAGGCAGACACCACGCCCTGGGTCAGCGGTGCTGAGATGAGAATGAGAGGAAAACAGTGAGTGTGAGAGAAACACCAGCCAACATGCATCCATCGCTGCAGCAGGTATTTCTGAACTGTGGTGGGCCATTCACGAGTCCAGACACCAAGGGTAAATATCTGAGTTAAACACCCAGAAATCCTGGTCCATGAGTCTTCTACCATGACTGGAGGGAAATCCTTCCTCTCAACCAGTTAACACGTAATTCAACAGCATGGCTGCCTTTCCTGAATCTCTGAGGGAAGTAACCAGCATGCTGTGGCTGAGTCAGGGGAGGCTGGGGGTGGCTTTTTAGGTAGGAAGATCAGCAATATGGACATTTGAACTGAGGCTTGAAGGGTACAAATGACTCAGGCTGGCTGAAATTTGGGTGAAGACAATTTCAGATGGACGAAAGAGTCAGACTAAGTATGGGAAAGGAGGCGGCAGGTTCAGAAAACTGAGGACTGGTGTAACTGCTGTGCAGTCCGGAAGAAGAGTTAAAAGCAGAAAGTCCTGCACCAAGCCAGGCACAGAGTGTGCCGTGCTCTGTAAATCACAGTCCTAAGTTTGCCTTGTATTCTAGAAACAGTGGGAAACCATTGATGCATTTCAAATTATTGTCAATTTGACTAAAACTCTAAGATAGCACATAAGAAACCCATCAGACTGGTGCTTCTCCCACTATTAAGTGCCAGTCTCTTCTGGAAACCTTCAGCACACAGATCTGAGTTGAACAGATCTTTGTGGTCTAAGTTTTTCTGCAGGTTGAGAGACTGCTGTTCATTGCTCAGAGGAGCAAACATGCATGCACTGCATCCCTCAAGAAGAGAGGGGTCAGCGAGAATTTCACCTGCACCACAACATGCATTTTAAAATTTTAAAATCCTCTTCTTGTAGGAAAAATAAAAAATTTTGTGAGATAGACTCATGTTTCCTCTTTTTCTTTTATTTGTGATTCTTAATATAAAATTTTTAAATGCTATAAAAGTTTCATGTAAAATAGCAAATACTTTAATCATACTGTTCATAATTGATGAATTCATGGTAAATCAGTATCATCAATATGGCATTGTTGACCTCACATTTCGGTGAAAAGTATCTTGATGGAGGTAGGCATTCAGTGTCACATCACATGTCTGGGCTTATTCAGACAACTGTCTGCCCAGTGGAACTGTAACTTAAGGGTGCTCTTTAAAAACCTTGTCTACCAGACATGGTGGCGCATTCCTAGCATGCCAGCACTACAGAGGCTGAGACAAGAAAATCATAGCAAGCTCAGTACTAGCTGAATGTATTTAGGGAATTTAAGGATGGCCCGGAATGCACAGTAACACTTTTAAAAAATTATCTGGGGCAATTATAAACCAAATTAAGGAGTGATCAGTTTCTCAATCTGTACAAAGAAATGAAGCTATCTTTAAAATTATCCACTTAACAGGCAGCCTGACTTGGATGTACCTAACTGTAACATAGGGAGAGAAGATTTTGTTAA